TGCCATAGCAATTACATATATAGTAATCGTACACGTACAATTACAACTTTATATATTGCAGGACATATCGCAATTATTATTACTATCCGTACTCCTGTTTAGGAGCTTAAAGTTTCTACAAAGGATTTCCACCCTTTTTTATCTTTTGCCACCGCCCTTAGTTCTTTGAGCAATTTTCCCGTTTCGGCATATACCGATCTTCTCCATGATGTTCGTGGTCTTCTCCAACATCTAGTACCCTGCGGATTCCATTCCAATATAGCGTGGGGTATCTCTTCGTAATCCTTCGTTAGTGTGTGCCCCAGCCATCCGTATTTACGTTTTCTTATTTCGTTGTTAATGTACTTTTGGTTGGTTGCCTTCCAGAGATCATCATTGCTTATGACCTTTGGCCACAATATTTTTGTAATTCTACATATATAGGGTTTTGACGTCACCTTTGTTAGCAGCTTCTTCCGCTTCGGCGGCCATATCTTCAAAATATGCTCTCTTGTCCTTTCTCGCTTGTTTTTTGATTTTATGTAATCTCTACGGTCCTGTTGATTCTGTCGACTAATTATTAACAATACATAATCGATAGAATCAACAGTACTACAGCGATTACATATATAGTAATCATAAACGTACAATTACAACTTTATATATTGCAGGATATATCGCGATATACGACAAAAATAAAGATTTCTTATATTGCAAAGGCTTTACGGTTTTTTTATCCAATCGTTCCATACGGTTCAAGGCTGTATACGACGTATAAATATTATTACGTTGCGATAGCTCGCAGAGACCGCGATGGTACATGATGCAACATACAGAAATACATATTTCGGCGCGTGTTCATTGTATGACAATTGACCGACGGCTACTTAATAATACATGAAGCCGGTAATTAATTACCCCACGACGAGTGTGGAGGTAACTGAATTACAAAATGCTCGTACTACATTCGCGATGCGCGCGCGACTCATTGTAGTCGATAGCGCGAACGCGAGCGCAATTATTATATCCTGCGTGATGCAAAAGAATTCCGCGCGGCGAGCCAACGTTTTACCGTTTTGCTTGCTAACTCAACTGCATGTCAACAACGTTGTATCAACGGGAAGCGAGCACTTTACGCTTTTAAACATTTCTCACCGGGAAAATACTTCATAAATAATCATTACTTCTCTCGTAAATTTTTTCACTGCATTTAACGCAAGTTGCAGTATGTATTAAATTCATATTTAAACATATGGTGTATTAATTTGAAGGCGCATTATAGAATGTTTAACCCTGTAATGGTAAGGGGTCGGGATACGATCCACGGCTTCGTCTATTTTACAGTTTTTTTATTTTACTGCAATTATTTAAAGTCAGTTAAACTTAATTGTATTTTTTTTCACATAAATAAACGGAAGAAGAAGTTATCATTTACTTCTTTTGCCCATTTTGTATATCGATTAGATACGTTCTGAAAAGCCACTTTGCCATTAGGGGGGTTGACAAACAGCAGATAATCGTGAAAGCGGTCTCGCAGGCGATACCGCATCGGTCGACCACTCGTTAAGTGAGACACAAACGGGATTCCGACAGACATTTCTAGCGCGCGAAGGAATGTATTTTCCTCGTCGGGGTATTGGTACGGTTAAAAATGTCCTCCGGCGTGCGACGACGCCGCGTCACGTTCCTCGGATTCGCCCCGTCACGAACGACGAAAATCGTGACGGAGATATTCGTGGCCGCCGAGAGAGGTAGTCTGTCGTAATATGCAAATATCGGCCGGATCTTCTGGATACCGCGCGGCTCGCGCGGTATCACACGAGGTGCTCTCGTATCGTGTAATTTAAGCGTCGCGTCGTGTCGCCGCGATACATTAAACCAGTCGTGAGGCAAGTTGATAAGACGGCCGGATGATCGGCGGACGGTCGTAAAATACCGTGCGGCGGAACCGATCTCTCGCGTTATCGCGTCGGGTTTCGCGTCGAGACAAGAGATTTCGTCTTGCCAGCGGCAGCGGCTTCAAAAATTCCGCGAATCGCGAGAAACAAAAAGCGAGATCTATCCATCCAATGGTAATTGTAATTGTTCCACGTGTTAATTAACAGTTTGTTGAAAATTAATGCGTCCACCGACGCAATAATAGTGCTAATGGATTTCGAAAGATTAATGAATATTGATACAATAAATATCTCGATGTACGCTTCATTCAGCATTATCGCACCCGCGCTGCGGGTTTTGCCCGCCCAATTTTTCGTATTTACGATATCCATCGCCATTATGCAAACGGGCAACAATGAGATAGTGGTAATGGGAAACGATTACCAAATTAAAAGATAACGATATTGCAGGAGATTAGAGAGGCGTCGAGAGCCATTGAACGCTGATTCATCTCTAAACGTCACCACGGAATCTTCAAAAATAACGACAAACAACGGCTTGTCGTTGGAGATCAATTGTTTAATTTAGCATTGTCATCAACGATTACGTAGGATCTGTGAAGACAAGCCGACGTAAAGTAAAAGAACGGCCGGTTGGCGATAAAACCGCAGAATAGAAGCGACGGATATGACTCGTCGATCTTTACCCGCGGCCAACATCCGGTCCTTACCTTTTTTCAACGGTTTTTGCTTGTGCTGGTCGACACCGTCTTTCATGATCCCCGCCCTGCTTTCACTTGCTATCAAGCTCTCGCTCGCGCTCGTCTTCGACTTCATCGTGCCTCTGCCGTCTGCGTTGCGTAATCTTTCTTTCAGGGACACGAGCCGCGCCGGCACACGCACCTCCTCACCTTCACGCTTATTTTCCGCGCGCGATGTCGAGATACCGATAAGATAGCGCCGAGCCGCTTACAATTAGACGATCGGTGCGCGATTCGTTGCCTTTCGGTCGAGGTTCGACTCGAAGCAGCCGCGAGCCGATTTGTTGCGATTTGCGTCCCTGCCTGGTCCAGTGGTTCGATCTATCGTGAGATCGCTCAAACGGAATCCGTCAGTGAGTAAACCGCCGACTAAAACACCTGCGTCTCGACGTTCACGTTCTTCGTTTCGGCAGAATATTTTGTTCACGACACCCCGTATATATCGTTACGAGCCAAGCGTCGAGTAATGTAGCATCCTCGATAGATTACCGAGATATAAATTTCGCCGAAGGCGATTACGTTGTTTGCCGAGAGTGGAGTGTGTCGATAATAGCGCGGCTACTTTTTCCGGAATATGCAAAAATCTGCGGTCGTATTTACACGCGGAATTCGTGGAATCGCAGGTAAATACGTAGGAATTTTTACACGACTGTTCGCCGAGAGCAGGCCCGAATTTTTCGAAGCGTTTGCTCCGAAATGGTGCGAGAAATTTTGACGCGATAAGCTCGCGATACACACGTGCCGATACGGTCGCCGCGACTGTCGATCGTCGACTGCCGACCGGCCACCGCGTCAGTGTGAAGAGATTCGTGCCTCGTCGAGTTCCGATTGTCAACCGGTACAGTCAACGCAGATAATGTTCACTTTCACGGTCGACTCCGCCCTGAGAGCCTAATCCCGCGAGGCGACTTTGCACCTCTTCACTCTGCGCTTTGCATCTTGCCGCCAACTGTTTCTTTTTCTCCGTCTCCTTGCCTCCGGTAATACATTTGCGAACAATGACGTTCGAAGTCGCCTCAAAGAGACTAGAAAAATATTTTTGTAAATCGGCAGGCTAAATTTTTCGTTTGGCTCACAGGCAAACGCAGACATTTTACCGGATATTTGGAAGTAAGGTTTTAAGGCACTGAAGAATTAATGAAATTTACCGAAGTTGGTAAAGTTGCTTGAAAATTAATTACTGTAAAATTTAATTTTGTTTCTCGTAAAATCTGAAGTATATGTTAAAAGTGTAATTACTTTTTGCAAAAAGCAAAAGTATAGATAACATTAACGGCATTCAGATAATCTCCGAAGCTATATTTGAGAGTAATTTATAAATGGAATCATTGCATAAGGTTTTAATCCAGTTAACTGGGAAAGTGTCTAGCGCCCGTCATAATTTTATCACTATATACACACGCGGTGCCCTAATTCCATCAGCTTAAACTAGTTTCGCATGTAACAGGATCATATATGATTAATATTAAAATATAAGAAATATAATATTACTCTTCTGAGATTGCCTGGTTTTTTTTATTGTCAAAATAAATATTATCTTAAAAATTAAATCAATCCCCCCCAAAAAAAATTCTCGAAGCGAAACAAGCAGGTAATTTTCTCGCACGAGCGAGCTTTTCGATACAAGAATAAAATTACGATACGGCGTCGCCGAGACTCTTAAAACCGGAATGAACAAGATAGCTGCTATTTATAATTTTCTCGCTAATCGAGAAGCATTATATTGCAAGAATTGTTGAATAACTTCGGAGTCGCATCTCGCGAGTCAAAGGACGGCATGAGTCGATGCACGGTGTACATCATATGCACTAGTAAGCGCCCTGGAATATTGATCCAGGATACGTACAAGAACCGAGTGCCCTTTCAACTGGATAATTTAATTTCTTTCGCGAAACTGTGGAATCAGACAATTCCAGAATTAAGACAATTATCATTTTTACATTGCCAA